ATTGTTTTACTTTAATTAGATTTTATGATTTAATATTTTTATTAGGTATTCATTTGTTTGAGCACAAAAATATATTTGTTTTTTTATGATTATCTTACCATAAATGAATTAAAATGGCAATTATTTTTTACAAATTGAAGCTTAGTCTGCCACATTTAAGAATTTATATGTGTAATCTGACTTCACTTGCCAAAGATACACACATAAGAATTGGGTTCATAATGCTGTGAATTTTCATGATTAAGAATGTTTATAAAGTGATGTAATGTATACTTTTAACTTCTAGACCTTTCTGGAACTTGTCATTGCCGTACACGATATGACATTCATAATTTTGAAATTTGATTCAAATTTATTTTCATGTAGAAAAACTGCAATTTAAAGAGCAAGCAAAGAAGTAATTCTTTTACTGGTCTTAAGATTTTTATTTTGAAAACATATAAACTTTTTTGTAGTATACGAGAAAAGACTTCTACACAGCTCAAATCTTATTTAAAAAATTAAAGCTTCCAAAAAAACAAAGGAAGTTGTTGTGAAACAGTTATTAGAAAAACTTTAAATATTTTACTAAAATGACTAAAACAAAATGCAGTAGAAAGGACAAACATTTTTTGTTAAAATTCAAATAGCCAAAAGTATAAGCACAGTGTTACACAATATTCCTGTAAAAATTCGAATACGATACTTTTTTTTTAGTTTTGCAATATATTTGTTTTGTAGAATTCAGTTCATTGATGTAGCAATATTTTTAGAAGTTGTAAAATTCAAAAACAAGAAAAAGGTATTAAAAGAAAAATGTAATGAAGAATTGTTGATTTAGCTTTAAATGAATGAAAATAAAATAATTTGATTGATGAATTTTATCTAAGAATTATATGTATCAGCTTCCTTTCTGCTTTCATCTCATGCATATGTTTAGTAATTTAGTTCATTTTTATTAATTATATGTAATTTTTGATATTTTAGAAAGAAAATTTCTTTTGTAAAATTCATAAACTGTAGGATCTTACCATCTTGTTTCATAACATTTATCAACAATGTTATGATATTTTAAGTCTGATATATTAATCAATTTTCCTACATTATTTTGTTTTTCTTTAATTTTAATACTGAAAAGAACTATACATATTAGAAATAAAAGCTTAATATTAGTTTTATATACCTATTTAATTCTAAAATGTTTATATCAAATATAAAAACTCATGACAAGGCAATGTTACACTAGAAATCATAATGTATAAGTCTAATGAAGATAAGCACTAAGAGAAATAATATTTAATACCTTTTACAGTAAGAGAAGACAGATATCACATCTTCTGAGATTTTTTTACAGCAGAACTTAGTAAAGGAAGTTTCAAAATTTAATGATATAACTGACTTTTATATACTGTTTCAAGGTATGGGATTTTGAGAGTATTGATGCTGCAGATCCTGAAGAAGAAGCAGGATTTTTGGAGCTAAGTGCAATGAATGAGCTCTTGGTAGAAAATAAAGCAGATCTAAGACATATTGTGAAATCATTAGATTCTTCCGATGATTGCATATGGTATGCACAGGTAATTACTCAAATTCTTTCATATTTAATTATGCAGTAACATTTTTACAGGTGTAATTTGGATATGTAAGGTATATGTGGGAGATTGAGTGTTAACAGAAGCTAATATAAAAATAGAAGCCACTTATTTCCATTTTCATATATTTTAACATAACTGTTTTCTGCATTTTATGGTATTGTATTGTTATTTATTTACTTATACCTAAGTATAATTTTTTGACCTTGTATTTAAGTTTTTAAGGATTATTTACTCTGTTAATGCTTTTAAGAAACTGGACAGACAGTGTTTATCTTTTGGCCTAGATTGATTAATTTAACTGTTACAAATTCCTATAATGTAAAAGTAAACTGAAATTTCCTATTGTTATTTGAAACTTGTGTCTTTTCAGTGCATTTACACATATTGAAAAACTTGAAACAGCTTATATAATGTTATTATTAAATCACAGTTTCAAGATTCGATGACAAGGAACCCACTTTGAGACTAATAATGGCTGGAGACGGCTTGAATGGGTAATGAAGAAAAACTTTAAATATAAGTTGTATTGTACCTGATGATGACAAAACCTTGTTGAAACGTTGTACACTTGCTGTTATGTTAAACTTATGTTAAAGTTTTTCTTCATTAACCATTCAAGCCATCTCCAAGTATTATTAGTCTCAAAGTAGGTTCTTCGTCATTGAATTTGATTAACATGGTCTGCTTCTCACTGAATTTAATATTTTGATTTCATCCTTCAGAATTATCTTGCAAAGTAAAGTATGTTTTAGACTTCTGAAAGGATTAGAAATATTTCTGTGTTGAATGTTAAAACACAAAAATAGGATGCATTAAACTCAGTTGTGATTGAAATAGTTATATATTGCTATATGTTAATTCTCCTGTGCTATTATGTAGAGATGATGCAAATGCCATCCCTGCTATCTTGTTTGCATTGTTTTTGAAGGATTAATATTAGCCATCCCTACATTTACTTCCTTTTTTGAAAAGTTTTCTTTTGCTTGCTTGGTTATATTTACAACCAAGTTCTAAATACAGTGAGGTTCCAACTGTAATATTTAAAATTTATGTTTCAACCTGTACTTAAGCTTTTTAAAGGAACACCAAATTTCTGTAAAAAAGCTAACCTCGAGGTGTAATGATAACATTGTTTGCACTATAATTATGATTATTATTTTTAATTACTACTAGTTCCTAATAATACTTATAAAAGTGAATACTTCGTTTGAAACTATGTCACCTCAGTGAAATTGGTTGACGCTATTGTTTTGGCTTTTGAGTTATCATGTAATAAAAAAGAAGCAGAAGAAAAAAGAACAA